TTTAGTGTTTCGCTTGAGTGATGACGCTTTGAGTGTTTCAACTGCCTCCCGCAGTGTTTCAACCGCATCCTACGCCCCGAAGACGACCTGCAAAGTGGGTCGAAACGTCGGCAAAATTAAAATAAAATAATTACTATATTTTAATTTAGTATTTATTTCACCGCACCCCCGACTAACTCCTTCTCATATTATATCAACGGTCAACCATCTCTACATCAAAATAATATTTATGTGGGTCAAAGCCCTCATGGGGATACCGGAAAAGGAAGAGGTAGACCGCTTTGCTAAAACCTCCGTTAAATTACCCCATGTTACAGACATCAAGCTGGTATGTATAAATTACTTCTTGATGATTAAAGCAAATATGGTAAACAAATGGTTCCTTTACTGTCACGAGTCACCCACAGGTAGATTTTATGAATTTAATGTACCTCAAATTCTAATCAAGCCATGGTTCTTTTGATTAAACCTACCTTCTTTTTCTCTCACTATCTCCTGGGTGCTGCTAAGCGTGGAGTAGCTGCCTCTGACCATCTTGTCTAACCCTGTCCTGTGCAAGCCTTCTCATCTCCGGCATGGTGCTTCCTCTCGCTGTGCCAATTCTCTCAATCAGGTATGCATACATAAGCCTTGGCCTGACTTGAGGTCGCCTTCCTCCCGGTCTTGCTTCTAGAAGCCATCTGGCCTTACGGTCATCTCCCATTCTATTAACATGCCCATACCACTTCAACTGCATTTCTTCAATCGTCTCTAGGACGGATCTAACTCATAGTTCATCTCGCATCCTTTCAATCTTTATTCGATCTCGTCTGGTTTTTCCCAATATCTTCCGTAGGAATCTCATTTCTGCAGATACAAGCTCATTTCTGGAGCTGGCATGGAGGTCCAAGAGTGTCCAGCTCCCCGATCCGTATAGTAGCACTGGAAGGAAAACTGATTTGAATAGCAGAATATTCGCTTTTCTGCTTAACTCCTGCTTTCCAATGAGTGTCATGGATATTTGGAAGTATAGCAATATAAATAAAAAATAATAGCAATATAAGTAAAATTAACATTTTGGCCAAGGTTATCAAATAATACTTTCATGCAATAAACATCGCTTTTCTGCTCAACTCCTGCTTTCCAATGAGTGTCATGGATATTTGGAAGTATATTCCATTGGCCTTTTGGACTCTATTCATGCCCTCCTGGTCTATTCTTCCATCCCTGCCAATCATTGTTCCCAGATAGCAGTGGGTATCGGTTAGCTCAAGGTTCTCTCCATTGCAAGTGATTCTAAGATCCTCGTTCCTTCGTCCAACACACATGACCCTGCTTTTGAAGGGATTGATCTGCATGCTTCTGAGTTGCAGTTTTTCTTGCCACTCATTCACAGCGACCTGGAGCGATTCAGCAGTATCCGCAACCAATACCACATCATCTGCGTACAACAATGCCTGTGTCAACACTGGGGTCATATTCCAGTATCCCACTGTTGCTCTGGGTATCCTCCTTTTACAAAATTTTCAAATCGCATCCATGAAAATTATGAACAGTAGGGGGCTCATTCTATCGCCCTGTTTAACTTCCATAAAGAAATGGAATGACCTAGACTCAGTGCCGGCTAGCCTTATTACTCCCTTCGGGTCTTGGTACACTGACTTAATTGCACTAATAAGATTTTGTGGGATTCTCCTATCTTGCAATGCATCCCATATTTCCTGTCTAGGAACATGGTCGAAAGCCGCCCGGAAATCTAGAAAAGCTGGGTATACTGCTTTACCTCTATCCCATGCCTTCTCTACAATCATTCTCTGAGAGAAGATATATTCTTGTGTCCGCCTGCTGTTTCTAAAACCTGCCTGTTCCTCTTCCAGATCTTCTTCCACCAATTTCCTTAATCTTTGTTCCAGGACTCTAGTGTATACTTTGTATACCACCGATGACAGACATATGGGTCGATAATTATCGCATACACTTTGGCTTCCCTTCTTATGGGTAGGGATAATGATGTTCTTTTTCCCATTCTATGGGTATCCTTTTGAGATCCCCTTTGGAGACTCTTGATCAACTCATTTCCTCCATATTTTATAAATTCGGATGCAATCTCATCTGGTCCAGCTGCTCTTCCCATCTTTACTTTAGCAATGGCTGCTTCGACTTCCTCCTCTTCTATGGTGTCATCCATGTCGGGGACCTCTGGTTCAGTTCTTATACATCTTCTACGGCAATCTCGAAAATTTCGTCGCCTTTCTTCCATTCTGAATTTTTCTTGGAAGTATTTCATCCAAACCTCCTATATGTCCCTGTCTTCTGTCACCAGCATGCCATGCCATTTGGAAATTTTGTAAATGGAGGACACCCAAAGCACCAGTGGGATACTGGAATATGACCCCAGTTTTGGGTGTCCTCCTTTTACAAAATTTCCAAATGGCATGGCATGCTGGTGACAGAATATGGAGGAAATGAGTTGATCAAGAGTCTCCAAAGGGGATCTCAAAAGGATACCCATAGAATGGGAAAGCAACATCATTATCCCAACCCATAAGAAGGGAAGCCAAAGTGTGTGCGATAATTATCGACCCATATGTCTGTCATCGGTGGTATACAAAGTATACACTAGAGTCCTGGAACAAAGATTAAGGAAATTGGTGGAAGAAGATCTGGAAGAGGAACAGGCAGGTTTTAGAAACATCAGGCAGACACAAGAATATATCTTCTCTTAGAGAATGATTGTAGAGAAGGCATGAGATAGAGGTAAAGCAGTATACCTAGCTTTTCTAGATTTCCGGGCGGCTTTCGACCATGTTCCTAGACAGGAAATATGGGATGCATTGCAAGATAGGAGAATCCCACAAAATCTTATTAGTGCAATTAAGTCAGTGTACCAAGACCCGAAGGGAGTAATAAGGCTAGCCGGCACTGAGTCTAGGTCATTCCATTTCTTTATGGAAGTTAAACAGGGCGATAGAATGAGCCCTCTACTGTTCATAATTTTCATGGATGCGATTTGAAAATTTTGTAAAAGGAGGATACCCAGAGCAACAGTGGGATACTGGAATATGACCTCAGTGTTGATACAGGCATTGTTGTACGCAGATGATGTGGTATTGGTTGCGGATACTGCTGAATCGCTCCAGGTCGCTGTGAATGAGTGGCAAGAAAAACTGCAACACAGAAGCATGCAGATCAATCCCTCCAAAAGCAGGGTCATGTGTGTTGGACGAAGGAACAAGGATCTTAGGATCACTTGCAATGGAGAGATCCTAGAGCAAACCGACACCTACTGCTAACTGGGAACAATGGTTGGCAGGGATGGAAGAATAGACCAGGAGGTCATGAATAAACCTAGCAAAAGATATAATTAAAAGTTTTTCTAGACTTGGAACAAATCATGGGCTAAACAAAGTATACCTACAACGCATTGGAGTTAATAATTCATATAAATGTGATAAACGTAACCTTCACAGTGGCTACGTTTCGGTTATGATGCCATTTATTGTTAGTTATTACTGCTCTTTCTGTTCAGTCCATAATTGGATTATAATCTCCATGGGATTGAATAATGACATGACGTACCAAATTGAAGTTTTTTTGTTTGTTTGTTCATGGCTCGATGTTAATAATTTTTAATACAGATTGTCATCATTGTATGGATTTAGAAATTCTCCTCTCTGATTTTTGTAGGTAGGGGTTTTGGTTACGCTTATCACATTTATATCGATTATTAACTCCAATGCGCTGCAGGTATACTTTGCTTAGGCCATGATTTGTTCCAAATCTAGAAAAAATGTTTTCACTCTGTTCTTTGAAGCTGCTTTTTGGGGCTTTTACCGAATTTTTAGTCCACCATCAATATACATACCCACAATGAAATAATCTGCAAATTGGATGAAATGAAATGAAATAGGAATTGATCTGTATTTGTGAGTGACAAAATAAAAGTTTCTAGTCCTAAAATTTACATTTAAAAAAAAAAAAAATGCTGATTGGTTCAATGATTTTAATGAAAACGTTAATATTAAGATCAGGAACATTTAATTTGTCACTTATAAATACAGATCAATTCCTACAGTAGAGATCTGGGGGGACAGTTTATGACGTACTGACCGGAAAAATATATAAAAAATCAGGATTTTTCAAAATAATTTTTTTAATAAATAAAATATGTGTTTTAGCAATTGGGTTTATTAAAATTCATTCCAGATCAAGGAAAACAAGAAATAAAACAATTAATTGTAGTCATTTTTGCTGAAAACAGGGGTCCTTTTACTTGACAGGATAAAAATATCATTTTTTTTTACAAAACTTGAGCTGAATCTCAAGTTTTTGCCTAATAAACCTTAACTTAATTAATTCGGACTTAAAGATTACTAGACGAAGAGGTTTTTGTAAAAGTGGGGGAACAATAGTATAGTTAGATGATGATAACCAAAAAATCGAGTATAATTTAAGACTTTTCTAAAAACATAACTTATCTTAGTTTAGTAGCTCAAAAGTCCTCTGTAAATGGTTTTAACAATGATAAATCCTATATCCATTTAAAGTAAATTTCATCTTTTACAATAAAGCAATTATTATTTACTTAAATTAAATGTTTCTTTAGTTATTGTTTTCAATTCAATAAAAAACGCGGTTCATTAAAAAAAAAAAAGAAAATTTGGATTTCCTATTTTTCTGCTGAAAATTGGGCCATTCCTTGTAAGAACTTTTTTGTAGCTCTTAAGGTCTCCCATCATTCCTAAAAATATTTCCCTCTACTTACAGGACATCCTGTATATCGAATACAGTTACAAGCACACAAGTTTCTGATTTCATAAAAATTTTTTAATTAATGTATTTTTGCTGTAAACCTGAGACATATTAATTAACTTATGGACAAGAAAACTGCTGTTTAATAAATATAATGTATAACATATTAATGTATACATAAATTAAGTAAGGGAATCGATAAAAAGACTTTTGTCACTGTCACCGTCGCTCTACCAATAACGTCACATCCCTAGTTCCTTGTCGTTCCACTTCTGGAACGGTTCCTCGTTTTGTCCACCATCCCTACTCATCTCTAGTCTAGTGCTTGTCATTCTGGCTTCTAGTCATACCGTGGTATAATAGTATGATGCACTGTTGCGGGTTAACATTGATTGTTTGAATGTGGTTAATATTTTAATGAGATAATTTTTTAAAATTAAAAATTCTAAACTTTCATTTACTACATATTCAAATATATTGTATGGCTTTTACCTGCCAGTGAATGTTAAGGTTTGGTCACCGAATAACATGATTGGGATATGGACCCTGGCTCATCCAAAGGTGATTTTAATTGCTTTAAAAATTCCTTAAAAAGTTATTCCAAAGTTTTTAGGGTACAGTATTTTATTACCTAATTTTCTATTGAGTGATATAACCTTTACTGTTGTTAAGTTTTTATGACAGAAGTATTTTTAAGTATGTACCTCAGAGCTATTAAAGAAATATAATTATCTGTAAAGTATTTAATACTTTCTTTAAACAGATTCGTTCTTTTTAAGTTTTCAAATCTTATGGGTTATTTAAAAATGTTGGCATATTTGTCGCTGGACAATATTAGGGTCAAATCACAACTGTAGTAGTTATGTAATTTTCTTCATTATCAATTGTCATTGATTAATACAAGTCATCTGACTGACCAGTAATGAAACTGAGATCGAGTACTTCACCTGAGGCAAGCATTCAAAGAACGCCCCATCCCAACTTATAAGCTTTGTAATAACATTGAGTTTATTATTATTATTTTTTTATGGCTTAAATTATTTCTATTTTTATTATTTTTGAATGCTGTTCTTGGATTGTTACCTCAACATCTGACATTGCCAAGGCATTATAAACACCTATGTCACCAACTCACTTTAAAAGTGTTGCTGGCGCACATCCTCACTCCTTAGAATTTTTTAAAAAGATGTGCTTAACTTAATGAAAAATTGTACTATTTATAATTTTTACTTTCCCTTTCCTAGGTATACAAATACTTATTTCTTCTCAAAATATAATGGTAAGTGAAAGTTGTGTGATGCATGCAGTCACACCAGATATTTTCATCATGATAAAGTTGTTGGCCAGTTCATTCATTGAAACATACCTTATAACCTATATTAAATAGTTTGTAATTCATTTACTAAAATTACTCTTAAACAGCATTCATGTCTCATCTCTTTAATTACAATCTATATGAAATGAAATTGTTAAAAATACTTGTTTTTAAGATGTTTAATGCATGAGCATAAAATTCACTGGAGGGAGTATCAGCGAGGGTAAGATTTAGACCTTTTTTCCCTCTTGTGGGTTCCTCGTTCTTTCATCCTGGCCCAGTTTATCTTTTAAAAGACATCTTATTGAATCAAGAACGTACCTCCTACAAATCTTTTTCATTATAATAGTAAAGACCTTACAAACTCAAAGGTTCAATGCTGATATATTCAGTATTTTATGGTCTTCCAAACCCAACCTCGCCAGATCAGCCCTAACGCAATCCTCCCACCTTCAGTCTACCCATCGGCACTTACCAGTCGCCTCAGTCCCTATTAACCTATGAGGGATTCTTTCTTTACTAAGCCCAAAAATTGTATGTATCATTTTATTTGGTACAATATAATCACTTGTTTTTTTACTATATGTTAAATTATTTTTACTATGTGCAGATCATGCAGATTGTGTGACAGTGTAAATTCTAAGGTTGATTCATCCTTCTTTAGTCCAAATATTAAACAATTTTTTTTGTTAGAATAAACTGTGGCCTTGGTAAGTATATTGTTCGCCATATTAAGCTGGTTTATATTAAAATATTACTTTAGCCACATCTGAGAATTCTAGTAGGCTTGTTTCCCCTGGGGATCTATCAGTCAATCCTCCTACCAACTTAAGAATAAGCGTGGCAAATCTGTCACACCTACAGATTATATAAAAAGCTATGTTTCATCCTGCGTGTAACAGAACTTGCAGAGATCTCTCTCTGATAACCTATGTTCGAACATTTGATAGTTTAATTTACAGTGACCTTCATAGATAGCTGTGATTCTCTGAATTACCTAAACATTTCATAATTTATTTTACAGTGTCCTGTTTAATTTAATTTACCTTGTCAACCCAATACTGTTTAAATCTAGCACCATATATTTCCCTGTTCCTCCTTTTGCCACAGCTCAGGCTTATGCCGCTTACTGGGTCAAGAATTATATGGATAGTCTCTGAGCTCTCTGGCTAATTTATCAGCCACTTTGTTGTGTAGAATCCCAGAGTGATCCGGCACCCATTCAGCAGTTACCTTGCAATTCTGAATATGCATTGTAATCTTTAACAACCTTTGCTTTATTATAGAAGTTGTTGAGGACTCCTAGTGCTGCATGGCTATTGGTGTAGATTGTGATCCGTTTACCAATCAGCTCATCATGTAGATAGTGGCATATTTCAGAACTATAAAATGCCTGTATTTCAGATTAAAAAAGAGACACGAATTTGCCAAGAGGAATTTAGAAACCTTCATTAGGTTTGTATTTTCTGTAGTGGCCTACTCCTGACCCATAGGCAGTGAGAGAGCTATCTGTGTAGTAGTTTATGCCATATTTAGCTTGGGTGATAGTCGATAGTACTATCTATATATCGATAGTTCGTATGCTCCCATTAGACACAAATTATATTAAAATTTTATATGCTTAAAGGAATAATTTAAATAACACACCTTCATTCCTCAATCCATAAAGTGATGATATAACAATTTAAAAGTTAAATGTTTGGTAATGGAGAATGGTTATTGTATAATGAAAACACTGCATTAAGAAAATAAATGGATTGAAGTGTGAAGGCGTGTTTAAAACTATTCTTATCAGTACATAAAAATGAAACTAAATTGAACAAGAAGAAGACTTCAAGGTAAACAATAATTCAATCTCAAATTACTTCCTAAGAAATATTTTTACAACTGAAGTTTTGCTGATGGTAAAAATGTTTTAATTACCTCACTTTTTTTATTTATTTTTTCATAAAAATAAATATAATTATAAAATCTGCAAGGATGCCATTGCAGTTTTATCATATTTTATACAAGGTGTTATTATAAAATTAAATTTAGAATCTTGGAAATTAAAAGACACATTTCTCACCTCCTTTTTTAATTGAATAGTTAAAACAATAGTACCTATATGTCGTCGATGTTTCGTTTTTTAATTCAACAATCACAGAAATAAATACAATTTATTTCTCTATATAAATGTATTTTCCCGTCAATTTTTTTGGTTCCTTTATAAAATAAATCTTTAAGAATTTATGCTATATAAATATTAATTATTATTAAGCTTATGCAGCATTTTAAAGGAAATAACTAAAGAATACAGCGAAAATAAACTCCTTGAGAAGTTACTTAACTATCGAATTATCGATAGTGGAAAACGTAACTACCATAGATTTCTCATCTCGCCTTCTAGCCCAGTAACCTTGTCCATCATAAGTTACATTGAATGGGGTTAGGTTTCTTTTTATTTTCTTGTATGGGATATGACAGATGCAAAACCAAGTTTTTGATCTCAGCGCCCCCCGCCCACCGGATCACTTTTGAATATCCCCAAAACTGTTTTATTTTCGCCATTTTTTCAGTTTTTCCCCATTTTATCGATCAAGGAGCACTTTTCGACAAAAAATATTGTATATATGTTTAAACCAGATTAAATATGCTACAATTTAAGACCAAAACAGGCTTAGTAAATCAAATAGTTTACAAGACAGAGATTTTCAAATTTTAGGAAATATTATTTTCATGTTTGATCATATAAATTATCTTTTATCTTCAACAAATGGCTTTTATAAATCCCAAAATGGCGTTCAAACATGACTGAATGACGAGTTTGATTTGAGTTAGTTTTTTGGTCACTGAGAATCAGCAGTTGGCTTAATTTCGTCATTAAAGCTGGATAGTCAGAGTATAATAAAGCATAAACAAAATTTTAAAAATCTGGTGCTGTCTACGCATCACACAACTTTCACTTACCACCGTCTTAAGTATTTTAAGACAAAGGGAAGTGAAAGTAAATATTATAGACTCTATATTTATTTATACTTCATTGTGGGGATTTTTATTTGTATAAGTACCCTCATATTTATAAATTTGAATATTTATATTATTTATCACTGTAATCTGTACAATTAAATATGAAATAATAATATAATAGCATTTATGAAAACCACATATGTATATTTATATAATATTGTCGGAGTCTGTATTATATTAATCTCATGATACCTATAGAAGCGTGTTCTAATCTTTCGGACGAGCTTGGGTTCGCTCTTATTCCTTTGGTTTCTCAATTTCAACTGTTCTCTGTTACGATCTCTTATTCCTTCTTTAGTTATTTATCAAATTCTTTCATATTTTATATTTAACCAGTTTTTAAATTATAAATTAATGTGAAATGGTCAATTGTTTCAAATAAAAAAAATTAAAGGTACTTTAGAGGAAGCTAATATTGAAAATTAGCCATTTAAGCCCTGTTAGAGAACATCAATCAGAATAATAACCATATTTTATTTACAACTGCCTAATTTTACACTATGAAGAATTTAATCAAAATCGTTAGAGCGGTTTTCGAGATAATCGTAAAAATATGTTTATTTTAACTTCCGTTCCAATTTTACTTCCTTACGACTTTTCGCTTTTGAGCTAGACTGTTAACACACATACTCACACTCACCATTTTTCGGGACTTTGTTATTTGGACTCAGGGGACCTCAAAACGTGTATCTCTGTTGAAAACTCAGATTCAAAAATTGTCACGATAACAACACTTATCATTACTGCATATTACATGTATGGGTAAGGGAAAGTAAACATAAAAGTAAAACAAAGTAGCACCCACTTACCCAAACATACCCGTTTTATCTTAAAAAAAAAAATCGGAGGGGGATAAATAAACTCCCCTCTCTTTAATTTAGCTTAACATTTTCAAGTTTCGAAAATTCCATTTAGTATTTTGGTATGCACTTGATGAAAATATTGGTTAAATATTTTTTCATTTCAATTTCAGTCTTCTGGTTGTAATAATTGATAATTATGTCCCACCAAACCTCGCCTCCTCTTTCACCCCTTCTTATTAATATATAAATGAATAAAAATTTACTTCACTGAATAGTATAAAACATATAAAGAATAATATAAAGATATGATATAAAGACAAGTGATCAAACAGGAAAAATAGGTTAAAATTTTCAAGTTCGAAAATTTTCTTAATTTTGAAAATCTGTTTCCCGTAAACTATTTGATTTCCTGAGCCTGTTCTGCTGTTAACTTG